CCCGCCCAGCGGCCCCGCCCGGGCCCGAGCCTGCCCCGCCTGCCGGGCGGGGCGCTTTGTCCCCGCTGCCGTGGAGCAGCCTGTGCCAGCTCCCCGGTGGCCAGCGCACGGGCCGGGCACCGCTGCGTGGGGACATGAAGGGACCCCGCAACGTCCCCGCCCAATAAGGCCCAAATGCAGTTGAACGGGCCTCAGGGCAGCGCAGTCCTCACAGCAGCGCCCAGGCCCGTGGCACTCCTTGGCGTCTGGTGCCCCAGCTCTTTGGAGGCGATTGGCACCAGAGCTGCTAGTCTTCTAATGCTCTTTAATACTAATGGGTTAAAGCTGATGTGTTGTGGGTCCAGCTGCCTGGGCTGCCATCACAGTGTGGGCTGGTGGTTCTCCACCTCTTTAGACAGTGTGGGCACTGACTGACAGACGCGGGTGGATCCAAGGCTTGGAAAACAGGGATGCAGATGTTGGAAAAGAGGGATGCAGATGGTGAGGTGTGTCATCACGTATAAAATAACATATTCTCCAGTTAAAAAGAAATTAGAGATAGTTCAGGGTACTCAAGGATCCTGCTTGTTCTTTCAGGATCACTCCCTTGAGGACCAACCACCCATCCTTGAACTCTCCTCCCCTTCGGGTCGTGGTCCCTTAGGGCCTTGCCAACAAACCTCCTGAGCTTGTCAAAGTCAGCTTTCCTGAAGTCAAGGACTTCTGCATTGCTGACTGACTTGCCAGCTTTACAGTGGATAGCGAATGTGATCAGCTTATGGTCACTGTCTCCCAGCTTCCATTTGATCATTAGGTCACTGACAAGATCATCTCCCATTGCCAGTAGCAGGTCAAGCAGTGCTTTGCCTCTTGTTGGTCCATAGACTTCAGATAGAGCTTGTCCACATACGTGAGGAAGCTTTGCGACCATTTAGATTTGGCCGAGTGCTCTTCCCGTGAGATGTCATGGGAGACTTCAACCACCCAGACAACCATGCACTGGGAGAATGCAGCCTCAGCCAGTTCCTTGGCAAATTCCTGGTCGAGCTCTTGATCCTGATTACAGGGTCTGTAGTAGACTCCTACCATGTCATAGATTTCATAGACATTAGGGCTGGAAGGGACCTCGTCAGATCGAGTCCAGCACCCCGCCTGAAGGGCAGGAAGTCAGCTGGGGTCATAGGATCCCAGCAAGATAAGTATCCAATTTGCTTTTGAAGGTGTTCAATGTATGTGCTTGAACCACCTCCGATGGCAGGCTATTCCAGACCATGGGAGCTTGGACAGTAAAGAAATTCTTCCTTATGTCCAGCCTGAAACGGTCTTGCAGTAATTTATAACCATTCAACCTCGTCATCCCTTGGGACGCTCTGGTGAACAAATGTTTCCCCAGATCCTGGTGGTCACCCCTGATAAACTTATAGGTGGCCATCAGATCACCCCTGAGCCTGCGCTTTTCCAGGCTAAAGGGCCCCATAGCTCTCAGCCTGTCGTGGTAAGGTTTGTTTTCCTGACCTCTGATCATGCGCGTGGCTCTTCTCTGGACTCTCTCAAGCTTCTCCACATCCTTTTTGAATTGTGGGGCCCAAAAATGGACTCCAGCAATACTCCAGCTGCGGCCTCCCCAAGGCTGAGTACAAGGAGAGAATAACGTCCCGGGATTTGCTTGAGAAGCATCTATGGATGCAAGCCAGCGTTTTGGTCACTTTATTAGCCGCAGCATCATATTGAAGGCTCATGTTCATCTTGTGGTCAACGATGACCCCCAAGTCTCTTTCTTCCGTAGTGCCAGCCAGCGTAGCACTGCCAAGCCTATAAGGATGCTGCAGGTTTTTCCTCCCAAGGTGGAGAACCTTGCATTTTTCAGTGTTAAACACCATCAGGTTCTCGTCTGCCCATCTGCTGAGCCTGTCCAGGTCAGCCTGGATCTCCCTCCTGCCTTCAGGTGTGGATGCTTTGCCCCAAAGTTTGGTGTCATCGGCGAATTTGGCCAGTCTGCTTCTGACTCCAACGTCCACATCATTAATGAAGATGTTGAACAATATGGGTCCAAGGACAGAGCCTTGGGGGACCGCACTGGTCACAGGGCACCATGACAATTGACTTCCATCAATTACTACCCTCTGGGTCCGACCACGGACCCAATTTCCCAGCCAGCGGATCATGGTGGACCCAAGGCCACAACTGGCCAGTTTCGCCAAGAGGTGATGGGATACCAGATCGAAGGCATTTTTGAAGTCAAGATATATGACATCAATCTCTTCTTGTCCAGGTGATAGGTCACCTGGTAGTAAAAGGAAATGACCTACCTGCAAGACCTACCCGCAACAAACCCATGCTGGCTATTCCTCAGGATGTTAGCACCGGCCAGTCCATTAAGGATGGCCTCTTTAATAAACTTTTCTAAGACCTTCCCCAAGATAGAGGTCAGGCTGATGGGCCTATAGTTTGCCGGATCCACTTTCCTCTCTTTCTTGAAGATAGACACCACACTGGCCTTCTTCCAGTCTTCAGGCACTACACCAGAGCACCAGGAGTTCTCAAAGATCTGTGCCAGAGGCTGGGCTATGATGCTCGCCAGTTCCTTGAGTACCCTGGGGTGTAGATTGTCAGGTCTGGCTGACTTAAAGGTATCCAGCTTCTTAAGGTATTCCTTCACAAGGTCAGCATTAATGGAGAGCAGGGGATCTCCCTCACCCAGACCTCCCTGTCCCGTAGTGGGCATGGGACTGATGAAAGACCAATGCAAAGTACCCATTTAATAGGCTGGCTTTTTCCTGAGCATCAGTTGTCAGTTGTCCCATAAGGTTCAGCAGGGGTCCAATGTTGCCCTTGCTTTTCTTCCGGCTCCCCACATATCTCAAAAAGGACTTTTTATTGTCCTTGATACTCGAAACTAGTTGGAATTCGGTTGCAGCCTTGGCTTTTCTGGTTTGCTCCCTGCAGGACCGGACCAGTGCAGAGTATTCTTCCTTGGAGGTGAATCCCATCCTCCATCCTTTGTAGGCCTTTCTTTTTAGCCTCAGTAGGTCTGCTACATCCCTGGAGAGCCAGGGGGGCTGCCCTCTTGCTGCCTTTCTTCTGAGATGGGCAGATTATGTCCCCTGTGCCATGTTCACCACGGATTTTAACCCAGAGAGTCTCTAGTCATCCACCCTGGTTGCCAATGTCAGCTTGCAAAGACATGTAGCTTTCCTTGACATGGGAAGCCACACCCCCGCCCCTGTTGTCTACATGATTTCTCTTGTACAAGGTATAGCCATCTATACCTGTGGCCCAGTCATAGGTGGATTCCCACCATGTCTCCGTTATCTCTATGAGATCGTACTCATTCTTGTTTAGCAGGAGGACCAGTTCCTCCTGTTTATTCCGCAAGCTCCTGGCATTGGTGTACAGGCACGTAAGCATCCCATTGGAGGCCCTAGTCTTCCCTACACATCGTTCCGGGGCTGGGGTAGGGGTGGTTCCCCTGTGTGCCTTAGTCTGCTGGATTTGCAAAAGTTGCCTAGTGGGCTTGCTGTGGCAATAGTCGCCCCATCCCCCAGCAGGCTAATTTTAAAACCTGGTCGAGCAGGTCAGCCAGTCCGGCTGAGAAGAACCTTCTCCCCAGTGCAGTGAGGTGGAGGTCATCTCTTCCCAGCAGACCACTGTCTCTCTCACCAAAGAGCACCAATGCCTTTACAATGACACCAGTGCCACAGTCTTTGGTTAACTACCTTGATCCTCCTCTCCCTCCTCAGCCCATAACCCTAAACTGGGAAGATCGAGGAAAACACCACCTGCACTCCCAGCCCCTGAAGCCCCATTTCCAAAGCCCTGTAGCCTCTCATGACCCAGCTGAGATTGCTCCGAGCCATGTCATTCATGCCCACACGGATAAGGAGCATAGGGTAGTGGTCGGTGGGCTGAATGAGCTTAGGGATCTTCTTGGCTACATCCCAGATACAGGCTCCTGGGAGGCAGCAGACCTCCCAGGCTAAGGGGTCAGGGTGGCAGATTGCACCCTCAGTCCCCGTCAGGAAGGGGGTCTCCCACAACGAGCACTTTACATGTGGCCTTAGGGAGAGTAGGGACAGTAGCTGTGAGTCAGCCTCCATTGTCTGCAGGAGCTGGCAGCTCTGCAGGCGCTACTATGGCTGCAAGAGGTTCATACCTGTTGCAGAGCTCCAGAGGCGAGGGGAACCTGGTGCAGCGGGTCTTGGTGCCGTTGACTATCTTTGTCCAACCCCCTGGCTGGACAGTATGGGAGATCCTTGAGTCCTCCCTTGTCCTGGAAGGTGACCTTGGTCTACACTCAGCCTCCAGGGGGTGAAAGGCCTGGCAGTAGGAGTCTATCTCCTGCTCACCATCCCTGATGGCATGCAGTCTCTGGACTGCGGCCTGGAGCTCCTCTGTCTGGTGCCCCAGAGACTTCAAAGTGGAGCAAACCTCACAAAGGGAGGTGGCCATCCTCCCAGTCCTATGTGCCTGGAAACATGCCAGGCAGCCCCCACAGCCCGAGAGCCAGAGGCTCTGTCTACATGGAGCCTGGAACCATGGGCTCTGTCTGGGTGGAGACCTCAAAAGTGCCACAGGGGGAGGCCTCAGACTCCGAGGGGACTCTTGGGGTGCAGTGTGTGGCCATCCGCTTTGTGCCACTGGTAGTCCAGCTCCTTCTGTGACTACCTACTCTGCAGCTCAGGCCCTCTTGCTTTAACTCCCGTGCTAACTCCCGTGCTGGGCCCAGAAGCACGCCTGTTTGTGCATCCTGTTCGCAAGGCTCCAGTTGCATAGCTTGGCTGGGCCAAGTAGGAGCTGGCAGGGGGGGGACGGGGGGAAGTGTCCCTCCTTGGCTCCATTCAACTGCCCTGCAGCTGACTGAGTTGTGGTCCCTCCCTCCCCTGCCATGGGCCCCACCTACCTCCGGCTGCGCTGGGAGTCCGCGTA